AACCACTACCGGTGGGGATGCTCTCAGAGCATCCCCACCGGTACGCAATCAAATCAAATCATCAAATAACAACACTTGGCACACTTTTTCTGTAATTTGATTGGCTCCCTAGAATTTGGTTGTTTCGTTATTTGGCTGTTTGATGCTTCGGAAAGAACTGCCCCACCGGTGAGAACCAAATGAAGTACATTCCCCTCGTACTCACCATCGCATCCTTGTACTCACACTCGTACTCACCCTCGTATCGCACCCTCAGTCGTAGTCGCACGCTCACTCGAAACCCATCCCGCGACCTTCTCCCTCGCCACTCTGTCTGCACTCCTTCCCTCTCACCTCCACCGTGGACAAAGACAGACTGCCGGCGCTGTCCTCCCTGCTCACGGACAGCACGCGCTCCCCACGCGACCGCGAGCAGCGCGATCCCGGAGAGAACATACGCGCCGGCGGCAGCGGTGCTGCGGCGGATGATTGGCTCGACAGCCGCGAGCGACGTTCTCCTGCGGCGGCTGCTGCTGCTGAGCAGCGAATCGCACTGCGCTAGCACTGTCTGCGCTTGTGAACCTGTCGGAGGACGAGGCGGCGGCGGCCCTGACGCACGCGGACGCGGTGCGGCTCGCAGCGCAGGTGGTCCTGGACGCGGACGTCGTCGCGCTGCACGCGGCGCTGCTGTCCAACCTGACGCGCTTCGCGCCGGGCGTGGACGAAGCGGAGGGCGCGGACGGGTTTCGGGAGAGGGGCACGCTACTCGTGCTCGTGGAGAGGGTACCGACCGAGTATTCCGAATGTGCTGCGGCTGTCGAATGCGTGCGCGAGCCAGGAGGGGAGGGACGTCCTGTTGGTCGAGGGAAGGCAGGCGGAGAGACAGCTGTTGACGAGGTTGCTGAGATTGCTGGAGGCGGGGGAGGCAGAGAAGAGGCTGGCGGGGGCGAGCTGGGTGCGGAACTGCGCGATGGCGGACGAGTGCCATGATGTGTTGGTGGGGGTACGGCGGCGGTCGCAATGTGCTTGGGGAGGTCAAAGGAGGTGGGACGGGAGGAGATGGCGGAGATTCGCGCCTGGTTGGTCGAGGAAGTGTTGTTGTTGTGTAAGAGCCGGGCGGGGAAGGACGCGCTCAGGGATGGCGGGGCCGTCGACGTTCTGGAGGGATGGAAGGGGGAAGAGCATCAGGGATGGCGGGGCCGTCGACGTTCTGGAGGGATGGAAGGGGGAAGAGCATGCACGCCGTAGTGAGCATTCTGGATCGGCGGGAGACACTGGTAATCTCGAGGCAAATACCGCATCGATGCACTTTTGGTGGGAAGCCGTTTCGGTCGACCAATAGAACGTGCACAACTGGATTGTCAAGGGTAATCAAACAGAGACCATCCGAACCAAATTCTTGATATTTGGTTCCGATTTTTAGATCGACACCAAAAATTTGATGATTTGGTTGCACCGGTGGGGATTTCAATCGACATCAAATCATCAAATTTTGGTTGTTTGGGTATTTGATTCTACCGGTAGGGATGCTCTGAGCAAAAGGGGAGGTGCCGCTGACCAACGACATGAGGGAGGAATGACTCTCTGCAAAGAAAAAACCAGCCTGTTAAGACTCTTGACAGGCTGGTTTTTGCTTTGCCTTTGTGGTTCCGTGAACTCCGATACCCCCCGATCCCCGAGGGAGCGGGTGGCCGTCGGAGACTTTATTGCGTTGCGACTACGGTATGCCCTATTGGCTATGTGTTATTACTGTGGGGTGCCGTACTGTCGTCTGGATGTAACCACAGCCTTGCCCGGTTTTGCCAGGAATACTTTTAAATTCTAAACAAATACCGTATGCTTCTTAAGCCCTTGCTTTTCTTAAACTCAAAAATTAAAACGTAGGAGCCACTCATAGCACGCCAAATCACTTCTTTGGGCAAAGCAAAGCAAACTGCAGAAAAACGGGGCATGTTAAGACACACCCTCAGTGTGAAAGTTTCTATCATAATGTCTCTCATATGGCGATATACCTCACCACGCGAATGGGTCACGCGGTGAGGAAAGAACTTGCCTTGTTTAGGGTTACAGTAAATTAGTATATAACGGACAGTCCCATGCGACTAGCGCGTGGGCCTGCTCGGAGGCAGATTTGAACAGACGTGTCTACGCAGAATCCTTCACGAACAGCGCTCCGATTGCCCGGAGGTTCGGTTGGGTTTGAAGAGCCGGTCGTAGGCTCTTCTAGACATCAATAAACTGTTTAAACTATTTCCTTTAATTTTTTCTGGGACAATTCCCACATTGATCAATCGCGTTTTTCCCTTACGTTTTTTCTCGGCCATTCCGTTGGCCAGGCGGCGATCCGCCACCACTCCTTCGGAGTACCTCGCGTATCTCCCCCCCTCCCCCCCAGCTCGTGTGTTCCTCGCCGCTCGCTGTCTGCCCTTTCGCCGCTCGCTCGCTACTGCTTTTGCTACCGCTCGCCCGCCGCTGCCCTCGCCGCCGCTCGCTCGGTGCTGTCTTTGTCGCCACTCGCTCGTTGCTGCCTTTGTCGCTGCTCGCTCGACGCTCCCTCACCGCTGTGCCCCGCCGCTCCCCTGCTGTTCCGGCTGCGCCGCCGCTGTGCCCCCTCCCCTGCGCCGCGCCCGCCACTCGGGCTATTGGCTGGCCTACGCCGCCGCTGCCTCGTCACCGCGCCGCCGCCCGCCGCTTCTCGCCGTAGCCCTGCCGCTGCGCCGCCGCCGCCCGCCGCTGTCTGGCCTGCACCGCCGCTGCGCCCCGCCGCCCCCTGCTACTCGGGCTGCGCCGCCGCCGCCCCGCCGCAAATTGAGCTGTACAGCCTGAGCCGCCGCTGCTACTGCCCGCCGCGCCGGCCGCTCTCGCTGCTGTTTGGTCCGCGCCTCCGCTGCCCCGCCGCCGCGCCGCCGCCGCTCCGGCTGCTGCCTGACATACGCCGCCGCTGCCTCGTTGCCGCGCCGCCGC